TATCAAACTAAAAAGTTAAAAATAATTTTTCAAATAAGGTTAAAACAAAAATAAATGGAAAATACTAGTATTATTGTAAAAAAAGCGTGAGGCGCTTTGTCCATATTTCTCGTACATCGAGCGCCCCACGCAAAAACTCAATAACTAGTCTTTATAACATAAATTTTTGATGCGAGGTTGTCGGCTCTACCGAAATAGAAAGAGTTTTCATACATCACGATATAAATAGTGATGTTTTTCGTGTCTCTAAAAAAATTATGGTTCTGGTTTGAAACATTTCTTGTAATCCATTTATGTTAGAAAATATAATAAACGTATTGAATTTATAATTTATTGGTACCTTATGAACGTTAATATTTTTTTTTATTTATTAAACTTGAAAACATTGCTTAGATAATAAAATTGAGCTACCAAATTACTACATAAATAATAAAAATTACTAAAAATCTGTTGTACGGCTGTTTAATATTTTGAACTACAATTATCACGTAAATGAGTAAGCTAGCGTTATCTGTGAGTATATTAAAGAACCATGGGGGTAAGCGCAACCTTAAACCGGTCAAGAATGTACTTTTAATTAGATGTGGATCCCCTTTATAAATCGGTTACAAAGGTATATGCTAACCAGGTAAAAGAGGCCTTGTGTTATTCTACCATCGCGGCAGCGGTCAAATACCTACCTAGGTACCTATTAGGGCATAAAATATGCGGTTTTCCCTATCTTTCTTTCTAAGCAACTCGACAAATTGGAGAACACATGTTTTTTTTTAAACCTTACTAATACTCTGTATTTTTCTCGAATTTACCGATCTTATTGAAGAAATAATTCATGCTAGAATTTGGAAAATTATTATTTTACTTTATAGTGGATTTAGCATTTTAAAATTAGTTTGTTGCATCAAACATTCAAGATTTAAAATAAAAAATTGAAATGAATTTATCCGTTACCTTAGGACCTCACTCTGTATGTATTATAGAAATACAATTTACATAACACTTTATGCACAATCGGTCATAAGAATATCAAAATTATAAACTCTTAAACTTACCCCATCAGTCGGTAATATTTGTAAATAATTACACTCGGATTATTAAAGTATTTAACACACTGTAATTAGTTACATAATCTGTAAGGTTCCTTTCTTTTAGCTTTCCAAAAATGTGTACACGGTTACCTACATTTGTATGAAGAAATAGCAATTGAATGAATGAAGACAAGCGCTTTGTGACACCTACATAAATAATCACAAAACCGAATATTGCAGGTAAGACTTGAACACTAGAGCAGTCAAGGTTATCATTGTTCCATGTGATTTTTTAAATAATCAAAAAATATTCATTTTAATAAAAAATAATTAGAATTTTAACTTTTATGAAAGCTAAGGTATTGAAAATTGGCTGGTTGTTATTTTCAATGAACCAGAAGGTGCCATACAAATACAGGGTGTCCTAATAAAACTGATTTTAAATGTAAATGCTGTACGATTTTTCTTACATCTAATACAAAAGTATTCCTGTCCGTATTATAACAAATGTTCCGAGTATTGCGAAGAAAGAGCTTTTTGTTCTATTTGTTGTTTATCTAGGTTTTGAATCTCTATTATTTAATACCTATTTAGCGTTTTATTACTTAAAATAACTAATTCAAAAGGAATTCTGTCCATATTATGTTTCGCAAAAAAAAAAAAGGATTTTATTTTGTAGTATTTGTTTTAGGGTCTACTTATATTCCCCTATAATTTTTTTTGTGTCATCGGCATCAATTGCTAAGGTTATTACCCTCGTGTTCTGTGTAGGCTTTGTTACTGTTTCCCAGCGCCACTTTAGGAATAGCACTGTTAATTAGAACCCAAAAGTGAATGGCCGAGTGGGGAATCCTACGAAGGCATCAGCATTAATTTTAAATAAATAAATTAAATAAAAAAATTCCGGCCAACGGTGGAATTCGAACCTGGGACCCTTGGATCCACAGGCAGAGACTCTACCACTGAGCCATCTACCCCCCTTCCCCTATTATTATTTGTTATAATATTATGATTAAGCATAAAGTTGAATCATATATTATTAAGCATAAATAATAATCATGAATCAAGTAGAAATAACCCCATTACATTGTAAGGGTTCAACTTAATCCTTAATCATAATACTAATGCAAATACTAATAATAATAATAATAATAATGGTTTTTCGCTCTAAAAAACTATTTACCTCTCACTTTTTTTTGTCATAAGCTGGAGCTTTTTTCGAGGAGCAATTTTTAAACAACATTAGGCTTTTAAAATAAAATATTTATAATGTAAAATGTTAAAACATAACATATATTTTTTTTTAATTTTGATATATAAAGTGACATCTTGTGTAATCGCAGCAAGTGTCAAAACGACCAGTTGCATAATAAAGTTAAACATTATGAAACTGGTTAGGAAAAATGCATTGTGTCACCAGTCGCGAAAAGAAAACAATTAAAAATAAACCTCTCTTGGTTTAAAAATTAATTTATACATTAATATTGAAAGTTTATTTCAAAAGAAGGCACATTGGCTACATATAAATATAAATTGGTTAGTGAACTTAGTAATAATAATAATTTGGTTCTTATTTTCCATTCTAAATCTGTTCAAAATAATCATAACACAATACACAACAAAATAACCCACTTGCTTGAAAACTAAATAACTTTCTATTTGTCAAGAAAGTAATATTGGTTGCATAGATAACAGTAATGTTTTACCAAAACATAGTTTTATAAATAATCTAGTCTAAATTGGAAAAAATATTGCATGTAACACGTTACGAAATGCCGTTTTATGAAACTCGTTCATTTTGAGAGATCTCGCTCTGCTCGTTCCGCAAATATTCACTTGTAACATAAAATAAGTATAGCTATTAATAACCTTTTTTTAAATCTGTTTTTTAATTTGGGGTACACTTGTAGTTAATAGCTTCGTTCGCGGTAACAATCCTAAATTGATTCAGAACTACTAATTCATACTTTGAGCACATGTCCAATTCATTATCAATTCGGAATTGTTACCACGAACGCAATCTCTAGTATATCTCGGTATTCCAGGTATTACATAAGTGATTCAGGACCAATAATGAATGGAATTAGTTTTACAGCAAACATAGAATTAGAAACTAGGAGTGGGCAAAATAATCGTGTAATCGATTATCAATCGATTAGTAGTTTTTTTTTTGAAAAATCGATAATCGATTGACCTGTATTTATTAACCGAAATAATCAATTAATCGAAAATAATCAATTAATCGAAAATAATCGATTATTTTAAATAATCGATCATTTATTTTGATAATTATGATAGTTATTATGACCAAATTCAGAAACAGTTTTCGTTTTTTTTAAGCGAAAACCATGTTATGGACTGAAAAAATCAAGTGATCAAGTTTGCTTAGAAATTAATGGGGATTTCAAAAATGATTTTTATTTTAAAAGAAATCGGTGGCATACCATCAATATCTGACAAACTATGCAGGTCAAACAATACCTCCTGATGGATAGTATCTTTACACCAAATTTCATTAAAATATCTAGAGTGGTATTACAGATATTATTAAACAATTATTTATTTTTAAAAACTAGCACGCTGTACCTATCTCAAAAATTAAGACGTTTAGGACATACCTACGTTCATATATGTTTCTTCTTAAAATGGACCCAAAAATCATCCCCTTAAATATTGACATTCAATTAGAAAACACCCTGTATATTCAGTGGATTTTGCTTATATGGTTTTTATACACTGGGATATTTCGTCCTTAATTAATAATTAAGTTATGAGAGGGTGAAATCCCGTGCGCGCTCGATACCTAAGGCCCCCCAGCTGGCGGTTTTACCCACACTAGAAGCACAGCTGATTATTATTTTTATCATTCTAATAATATTATAACCATGCGGCTTGAGTTTTATGATTTTTGAAATAAGTTTGTATCGTCACTTTTTATTACGGGTTTATAAGGGTAAAAGACAAATACTCCACAATTATTGTCAATGCAGGTATTAGTCCTTACAAATGAAATTATTTTTTTTTCTTTTTTTACATGTTCTGAGTGTTTCCAAAACCAGCTCTACTAGTGCAGCTGACGCTTAAATCTTTAAATAAATAGAAGCATTTAAATTATAAATCGAATTTCATTTGAAACGCTGCCTCCCGGACCAATATCTTTAGAACAATAATTAATAAACTGGGTGGGCATTTACATTTTAAAATCAATTCTTATTTGATACATTGAAAAAAAAAGTAGAGTGAAATAGTATAAAAGGTGGTCTAATCGGTAAATTCAATTCAAAATTATTTGTATTATTTCTAGTTCAAATCAAATTGCTTTCTTTTGTTTGTTGACAAATTAAAAAAAAATCAGCATAAAAACTTTACTAATTACACAAAAACGCCGTAGCAGAATAATTTTTAGCTAAAGATACGAAATAAAGTCTAATTTATTCACAATTAGTGCAAAAAAACCAGCATCCAATTTTAAAATCTTTCAACGATCGCTACCTTTGTTGTTTTGCAATATATGCCTGTCAGAGTGGTTCTCAATGTTGAGGGACACCCAGTACTCAAAACAAAAGAATTCTTAAATTCACTTTTACAAAACATAAAAAAGTTTTCACAGATCTTGCAGGAGTACAATTATTTATTACATTTTTTTTGTCTAAATAAAATTATTATTATTATACTGTTTATGAGTTATAATGCGATTATTGAAATAAAAAAAAATAAAAAAAGAATCATCTGCCGTATTCGTTTGAAAGATTTGACACACCCTTTTCGCCTGCACTGGAATCGTCGATATATAGCTAGGGGAGTTGAAACGATTTAGGGTTATGAACCTTTTGGGCGGTCCAAACTATGAAACAATACTTTATTTTCGACGAAAACTTCTACACGTCAATAAAACCAAATCATACACGTTCTAAACTACAAATTAAAAACTACCAACACAAAATAAACAATAAGGGATAGGATGGTTAAAAATACCTAGTTTCCATAATTTGCAGAGGCACAGTCGATTGATGTAGAACGAGGAAACTGTTCCAAAATCCGACATACGGAGTCACAGTTTGTTTAACGGTTAGAAAACACTGTTGATTGAACAAAAGGCTTTCGAAAAACTCGACAACACTACTATTTACAACGCTATTGTTGGGTAATAAACATTGGTTCGGTAAGGGCGAAGTTATCATGACCATATCAAACAACTTATGAGTCTTTGTGCACTGTTTACGGACAGACCAGCGCGCCGCAGTCGCCACTTCCACGGCCCGAGCGTAGTCGGCAACGCCCGAATCGACCAATCGTAACAAACGATCAATGCTCGACGTTATTAAGGACGATATACTATAAAAAAATACAGGATGTCTCGAAAAGTTGTACATCTACTTTAAGGGTAAATGTTTAATACTCTGTTTTAAAATCAGTTTTACCAATAGTATATTTTAAGAATAACGTACCTAAATTCTCAGAAAACAAACTATAGTACCTACAGTAATTTGGTAGTTTAACCTGGAAAGTTTTCCGGGAGTTTTGAAAATGGGTTATTTAATTTATAGATTTTGATGTGCCTTCCGAATTTCAACTTTGCCACCTCTTATATTTGCCGCTCGCGCAGTCATATTGGAAAAATAGTGCCTAAAAGCAGTTTTTTGACAATATTTTCTTTCCGACTCATTTCATGATAAAAATATTTATATTCAAAATGAAACTAGAGAAAATTTCCTAGAATTTATGTAATTACATTTTTTCGTAAAATCAATAGTCTTAGCGTACGAGCGCTTCAAAGTGTTGTTCAACACGCGTCTGGCAAAAACAACTCATTTCAACACCAACTTGAGGTAGAGTAAGTGGCGCGTTTTTTTTATCGTGTTATCCCCAGTAGGCCTAATCGACATGCAATTCACTATTCCAAAATTTTGCGTATTCTCCTCTCTTTTCGCTGTTCATGATGGACCAGGTCTTGCGAGTTCATTGTCTTTAGTACCGATCGAAACCTCATAGACCGAAATTTCTTCCACATCATCCGCAATGGGATTATCAGTTTCATCGCAATCCACTTCATTCTCGATTTCATCATACTTTTGCTCGAAAATGGTCTCCTCTTCATCGTTTTCTTGTAATAAAAGTTATCATAGGTACCACTGCAAAGTCTCACATACAACCAGTAGAAATCATACAAAAAAAATTTTTAAAACTAATATTAGGTAAAAACTCTAGATACTCAACTGAAAAACTATATAAAGATACAAAAATGTTAGATATAAGACAATTATATTATTATAATGTATGTATTAGGCACCACCAAACCGCTAATTTTGTGGAGTTAATACACACCTACGACACTCGAAGAAAAAATTATAGTAGGGTACCTCAAATGCAAATGACAATCACACAAAAGTCATATGTCTTCTTGGCTCCGACTATGTACAATACAATCCCTGAAACAATCAAAGAAATTAATAGTATTTCCATATTTAAAAAACTTTTAAAAAAATTCATTATTAACTTACCAAGAGAAAAATTCCACAATCTTATTGATCTTAAAATTTTTACATTATAGACGATTAATAACTGTAAACCTTTCTCTCACACATTCTTTTTTTCCATTTATATAATTATTTTAATGTCATTTTTATATTTTTATATTTTTAGTTTTAGAATAATTATTATTATTTGATTTATATATATATATAAATTTAACGAACCCAATTTTTTCCTATGAGCTCGACACAAGTGTTTTATACACTTCCAGAGTCTCTACCAACTTTATTTATTTACAAACAATTTTATATGTAATTATACACTATTGTATGTACCGTTATATATTCTAAATAAAGTTATTATTATTATTATTAATTGGTGCATATAACGGAGCACTTTCTGCATCCACAGGCTTTCTAACATTTCTTTTTGCGTTTTCAAGAAATACGGTTTAACAAGCTTTCCGGATCTAGGGGCTTGAGTGTGGTGACATGAATTAGTCCGTTCTTGTTTCTTTTCCATCTCCACTGCTATGCTTTTTGTATATTTCCATACCACTGCTGAACCTGGTGATAGGTTCACAACGAATGTTGTCGTTCTGCTGCTGCTTCTGTTGGTGGTGGCGACGCAATATTAAATTTACTTTTATATGCTGATGTAAAGCGGGCATCCCATCGCGGATAATGTGGAAAAAATTTCAGTCTGAGACGTTTCGATCGGCACTAAAGACAATGAACTCGCAACATCTGGTCTATCAAGAATAGCGAAGCGAAGGAGAATGCTCTAAATTTTGGAATAGTGAATTGTATGTCTATCGTGCAATGGTAAAAGCTAGGTCAGTTTGTTGATGTTATAAGTTTTGCTGTAACTAGATTTACTATGTTTTTCTCTACACATAGCTATTTTCAAATTTGGATTATCACTTTAAATATGGGTTTTACGAATTTATAGTTTCCAAGTAAGTCGTATGTTTCAATAAATTTAACATGTACAAAAAATAACATGTCACTTTTGTACACTAGAATAGATAGTAAGGCTGGCTATCATTAAATTTAGTGATTTTTTGAGTTAATTTTATTAAATTTGAGAAACATAGCATCTTTCGATTTACTATGTTTTCATAATTGATAATAAGGCACTATCTACTTCAGAAACATAGCATGTCTAAAGTTACTATATTTTTAGACTATATCTTATTTTTGAGATATGGAACAAAGTTACAAAAACCTAGAGTAGAACATAGCAGACTTCATTACTATTTTTTATAAGGGATTATAATAAAATTTATTTAACTTTTCACAAGACGAAACATAGCATGCCCCTTTATCGCGGAAATAAGTATTCGGCTATACTTGATTTTAATTTCATTATGAAGAGGAGAAAAAATTACATAGTTTTGATCTTCTGTTGAGTTCATACCTTAGATAAAAAGAGACCGGAGATGTAACATTGCACATCGCGCACGTTGTCTATTCCAACCCTAAGTAACCCACCAATTAAAAATCATTGTGATCACGACGCCACCCGAATTGCTCCGAAATTTCTATTTTATGCCTGTCTCTGCGTGAGTAAATCATTTATGGACTGCCGTTTTTGAATTATTTGTTGGTGTTATTAGCAATTTAAAGTGTTTTAGTTATTCAATGTATGGTGAAAAATTGTATATACAAATAATATAAGTGTATAATGTTATGAAAAATAAGAAATATATTCGTTTTCAGCGGTAAATATTTGTTGACGTTTTGACATAAAGTGGCCATGATTCTTTGAGCTGAATACTTCAGATCCGAATTAAGGGGTTTCAATAAATATTAAGCATCAAATACATAATATTTCAGAAAATAGATTTCATAAGGGGGCGTCCATTAATTACGTGAGGTATTTTTGAGGATTTTTTGACTCCCCCTCCCCCCCTGGCGAGATTTGGTAAGATTTTCCTTAACTCCCTCCCCCCTTCCCTAATCTCGCGTGAGATTTTTCAAAATTCGTGTTTTCGGTGTAAATGTGTTGGATTATTAAAAAAAAAACAAAAACACAATATGTTCCATTACTTTTATTTAAGACTAGCAAAGACTAGTGTTTGAGAGTGTTGCAATTATTTAAAATCACATTAATAAAATTAAATGGAAATTAATAAAAAATAAATAAACATAATTATAAGATTTTTCCATATTTTATTCTAGAAATACTTTTACTATAATTTAACTTTACTTTCACGCAATTTTACACCGTTTTCTACTAGAAAAAAAATTACGTGAGATTTACGAAAAACACGAAAACAAGCTTTAATATATCTTTTTCTTAGGTTATAATACAAAACAGCATTTTCTCATTTTGACTAATTTTTAATATTATGTGATAGTCGTAGAAAAAATATAATGTTCAACTCACAAGGTTTGATTTGCAGTATTCGCCTGCGCACATGCTTTTTTTATAATACTCTTAAACAATGAGTACCATTTCTTACTCGATTAACAATATTCTATTTCAACATTTTACTGCACTCTCTTACAGAAAAGTCCGTAGTAAATAATAGCTAACGAAATATTCTATAAAAGGTCTTCTCTTTACATAAAATGTCGTGGCATCTGTTTGATATTAAAAAATCACGTTAAATTTATTTCATAATACAAAATCTAATAGTTCATTATGATGCTAATAAACAAAGTCCGGTCCCTGTCACAGAGTTCGGGTCCCTGCCCAGTTCTCCCACTCCGTTAACATTTCTTTAGAAATTGGCAACATTTGCGCAGGTTAAACACCGGTGTATGTTATATCTCTGGTCTCTTTTATGTAAGGTCTCTTTTATGTAAGGTTCATTAAGTAGTTGTGGCAAACAAAAAAATATAACATCATATTTTCCACGAAACAAATTAATTCTGATTTACTAGCTTTTACCATTGCACAACAGATGTGATTAGGCCTACTGGGGATACAACGGAAAAAACAAACGAGCCGCTTACTTTACCTCAAGTGGTTTGAAATGAGTTTTTGGACCAAAACGCGTGTTGAACTACACTTTGTGGCGCTCGTACCCCATTGTTTTTTAAGCGTCAAAGTATGCAATTCCGTACACATCCATAATTAGTATGGAAATATTATTCCACACGGTAATTCCACACTGTTTAGTGCATCGAATAAATTGTATGGAAATATTATTCCACACCGTTTAAGAAAATGGTATTATTGAATATAAATAAAGTATATTTAAAAAAAGAGTAAGACTTCTTATTTCAAGATTATTAATTTTTTCAATGAAACTGTCCTATAATTCAACCAAAATCAATACATATATGTCAAAGATTATATTATTATTGTAACAAATTTAGTTGTATTGGATTTAAGAACAAGGTATTATTGAATATAAATTAAGTATATTTAAAACAAGTGCAAGACTACTTCATTTAAGATGTACATAATACAGCAATTGAGTAATAGATAATCTTCATTTAATTAGAGGTATTTTGGTTAGGGCAAGTTGATTCTAATCTTGAAGCAAGGCTTATTAGCTATTGTTGAACAAGTTTTACTAGAATTTCAAATCGAGACGAGTTTTACTTGCGGATATGCAAACACAAAGCATTGAAATAAGACCATACATCTTGAATATAGTACACCCTTTTTTTCTGTGTGAATGGTTGTATCTGCAACAGGATCCTCTTTTACAAACTCCAGTTGCATGGAAGTAACAAGGGACAGTCTTCGCTATAACCTGAACGCTGGGAGAATGGCTGCAGACCAGTATTTCAACCT